CCGTCGTCGGAGATGACGAAATGCCGTCTTCTGATACGATGAACGACGCCGTCGTCGGAGAAGACGAGATGATAAGCGTCGTCGGAGATGACGAGATGCCGTCGTCGGAGATGACGAGTTCCGTCGTCGTCGGAGATGCCGGCGACTGATTTCAATTTTTTTTTTTTTAATAATTAATTAGACAAAAGAATAGAGGGACTTAATGGTAAATGAGCATACTAAAGAAACCTATTTTTGGGATAATGGGCCTTGGGGGCTATTTTTGTGATAGAAACTTGGATTGGGGCTATTTTGGCCTTTTTTTCTTTGAGAATAGGGAAATTGCTTAAAAGTTTTTTTTTTTTGTGAAACACATAAATAAGCATTACAAGAACTTCAAACATAGCCCTTTCTCAAAAAAGAAAAAAAACTTCAAACATAAAATTAACCAAACATCACTTGCAACTGGTTAAAATGTTAGACATTTGATTTATGACCAAGGAAACATAAATTCAGGAGTCCTATTCTCCCAAATCTTGTAGAGACCTCTTTCCACAGCTAACCATGTCACCATTTTATTATTCTCGTCGCTCCCCCAATTTGAATTATAAGCTTGAAATTTTTGGTAATTCTGGTATTGATATCCATGCATTAACTCACATCTAAAGACTGTCCTATGAAAAACCAAATCGTTGAATCTCCAATGTTGTTCTTGACCATTCATTAAGTACTGAACCCCTAAATCGTCGTTTCCTGAATAGCAATGGACACGGAGTTTTGTCCTCTTTTGGAACTTGTTTACGATCTTAAACGAGTTTTTCCCAAACGTGCCTTCAATACAAGCCCCTAAAAGAATGAGAGCAATTATGAAACGTTTCATTTTTACTTTATTTTGTGTTTAAGATTTTCGAAACTGTTAGACTGTTTGTGTTTTTTTTTGTTTCTTTAAACTTTTTGCGATTTGATATATATATATACAAGTTTTAGTATATATCTCTTTGGTGGTTATGCGTTACCAGATCTCTATTCTCTTCTGTTATGTGAATCTATCCTTAATGCTGGAAAATAAATGTTAAAGATATTGTTAATCTGCCTGTATTGTTGGATACTGATTATCTTTTGATCTATTATAGTATTGTTTATCTCATGACGGTTACTTTTACTATAAATTGGTCTAAGTTCAATGTATAGTATAACAAATATAACTAAATCTATATGTACATATACTAATTTCAATCACAAATATAGGAATGCATTATCTTCTTTTTTTGGTGGTCAACTAAAGCTTTTATAGCTAATTTTACTCTCCAAAAATGGCATAGAGGTTTTATCGAGTGTATGCACCATATTTTATCTTATCGTTTTTGTAGAAAACAAAAGGATCCGTTACTCTTGGTGGAAAAGTTATTTTGATAAGGTGTAACTGAAAATAGTGACACATGATACGACACATGATACTGTTCTCTGAAAGTTAAAATCTGTATTAATTTTAAAAAGTTACTAGGTATTTTGCCCGCACTTGCGGGTTTAATAATTTTCTAATATCTATAAACAAATATAACCAATTTAAGTAAATTATAATAAATTATTGTTCATATACTCAAAATATTTAATAATAATCTAAACAAATTCTTTCTATATATAAAATTTTTCATCATCATATAAATAATTGTCATACACAAATTAAATGTGAAAATACTCATAAATTTAAAATATTTAGTAATAAATTAATATCATTTCTAGACATAACAAAAAAGTATAATAAAATTATCTTTAGTAATGTAAACTATCTATACATAAATTCTTTGTGAATTATTTTTTAATAATTAAATATATATTAACATATATAATTATTTTTCAAGGTTAATAAAGACTTATAACACAATTATAAAAAATTAGATAATGATAATTATCAAATTCATGAAATTCGTTTTTAATTTAGAATTAATTATATATTAACAAATATAATTATTTTAAATATAATTATTTTTCAATGTTGATAAAGACATAATATAAAAAAAATTAAAATAAGGATGATTATCAAATAAATGAAATTAGTTTTTAATTTATAATTAATGATATATTACTAAAAATATAATTATATTTCAAGGTTAATAAATATTTTATAACCCAATATAAAATAGTTTTAGATAAAGATAAATTTAAAATCATTGAAATTCGTTTTTACTTATGTTTAATTATATATTGATTTTTTTAATTATTATATAGTAATAAATCTTTTTTGGTCAAATAGTAATAACTATTAGTCATTATATAGTCATAAATCTAGTTAGTCATTAAGTTTATGTTTGCTTTGTCTTAAAGGTAGTAAAAATCATAAGAACATGACAATTAGATTTACTATCGTTAATGGCGAAGCAAACATAAACTTAATGACTAATTAGATTTATTACTATATAATGAATAATTAGATTTATTATAACCATTAGTCTAAATAATGATAATCATCAAATCATAAGAAACATGACAAATAAGATTTGTTTCCAATTATTATATAGTAATAGATCTAATTAGTCATTAAGTTTATGTTTTCTTTGTCATTAAGGGTAGTAAATCTAATTAATATACAGTTCATAATTATCTAATAATAATTTGAATTAGTCATTAATTAAGGGTAATAATTAATTATTAGTCAAAATCATAAAAACATGATAAATAAGTATAATTACATAAAATTATGGAGAATATGATAAATCAGCAAATTCACTTTTTAAAAAATAACTAATTTCTTGTTATTTATAGATTAATTCAGTTTTAGTTTATGATTTATATTAATATCAACTATTTTAGATAATAATATTTTTCTGATAACAACACAATATATATATGAATTATCTTTTTATTTTATTTTTAAATATATATTTAGATTATGGATAATTCTTATCAATATTATTAATTTAAATCATTTATCTAATCAAATAAATATAAATTCGTTTTTTTTATTTTTGGCTGATTTATATATTTTATCCATTAAGAGTATAAACGATATTAACCACTCCAACTTTTAACGTGGAAGCTCCGTTGCGAAAAATCACTTTGCAAATTTAAGTGAATTATCTGATTTGTAATTTCTCCATGATTTAGATAATTTTGATTATTTGTCATATTTTTAATAATTTCATTAAAATTTATTATAAAATAAAAACGAATTTATATTAATAATTTTATATTTTCTAAAATAAGATAATTCTTACGTATTATCTTGTTATGTTGAAAATATAAATCCTATTATAAAACTTTATATTAAGATATAAAAATTATAGTATTAATAATTAAATATAAATCATCAAAACAATTATTTGAAAAGTGAATTTGTTGGTTTGTCTTCATGTTCCTAGATAATTTTGATCATTTAGCAGAATTACTCTAACTTTTTCATTATTGTTTATATAATTAAAACTAATTCATACTAACAATATGATATTTTAGAAAATAAGTTAATTCTTATGTATTATTAATGTAAATTTATGTCAATTATAAAATAACTACAACTTTTATATCTTAATTTTAAATTTCTAACAGAAAAATATATTTTCAAGAGAACAACTTAATACATAAGAAGTATCTTATTTTCTAAGAATCTGATGCTATTAATATAAATTTGTTTTAAATATATAATAAATTATATATAAAATTAGAGAAATTATGATAAACTATCAAAATTACCTAAAATCATGGAAAATATGATAAATCAACAAACAGTAAATTCATTTTTTAAAATAATTGTATAGATTTTTTTACATGTTAATTTTAAATTTTATAATAGACATTTAAGTGACATTTAAGTGATTCTGATAGTCCTGAACACATCACTATTAAGCTAAGATTTGTTAGAAATATAATTGATAAGTTCGATTTAGAAATCTTTAGTGAGTTTATGTTAACTCGTGTTTATTTCTTGTCCGGACTCATCGACCGATCTTCCTAACAGAAATCAATTTATGATGAGTAGTGTACCGGTCGATGTTCCTATCGAGTAATCGATTGACATTGTCAATTGCGACCTTCCAATCATTAGACTTATTTATTTAAATGAGATTTTATTAGATTTGTTTACTAAGATAGTTAATGCTCTATAGTACTATGCAAACAACTGAATAGCTCCTATATGATTATAATCTCCAATACTTGAATAGAAACCATAGATCTAGCAACCGTCCTTCCTTCAAACAACTTCTTGCCAAGCTGACAATTTCCTTGTTCATCTTGTTTACTATTTTATTGCTTGCTTATTATTATTTACTGTTTATTATTTATTTACTATTTTATTATTATTTGCCTAGATTATTAATAATTGCTTAGATTTATTTGGTTCCACGTGATTCGATCCCTACTTACTACATCTGAATCTCTTATTTGAGAAAGTAATTTACCCCTTAGGGTAATTTGAGTTATATCAATAGCAAAATTGATGTAATCATGGACAACTCAGACAAAGACCAAACCAGTGAGGATGAAGAGGAGGAATCAGATGAACCAGAAGGAGAGTTAAGTGATGATGAGCTCACTGATCAGTTGAATAAATTTCAAAATGCCTTGAACCAGAACCAACTCAAGTCCACGCCAACTCAAGATCCATTCATCATTTCGATTGGACCCATTACCAGATCAAAGTCCAAACTGCTCAGCAAGAAGATATTGGGCTTTATGAAGAACATGGAACCAGAAGAAGGCCCATTTCAGCCCACTCAAGCCTACAACCTATTTTCTGCATAACTTTTATTTTTATTCCTTTTATTTATCTGATCATGCAAGCAACTTACGTTCCCTATGCTGATCATGCAGCAAGAGTACTTTTCTATTTAGGATTTTCGAGTGTGTATCAGATTTTCAATCATCATTTTTATCAAAAACTTCCTTTCTCTTTTGGTGATTCATTTGTTCTTTGAACAAACCTGATTGTGAGGTGTGT